GTAATTTCCAGGCATCGGCAAGCGCACACGAGGCTCCACAGATTCAACGCTTGGTCCCAATAAATGTCCCTCCCACTGGCATTTCCTTACATCTCAGTCCCCAGCTGTGCCTTATGAAGGAGGGCAGGGCACTCTCCTCATTCATAGCAGGCTCAGTCTACGTTGTTCTCGCCTTCTCTCTTCTCTTCGTGCTCTAGGATCAGGAGCAGGAAAGAGCTCTGTCTCTCCTGCTCCTCCCTGTCTACAAGCCTTTCTAATCCTGAAAAGCCCTGCCCAGACTGGCCCTGCATTTCCCCAGTTTCCTCCAAAGCAAACGGAGCAGCCGCCTCAATCTCTGTCGGCTCCTGTTCCAGCTCATCTTCCCCCACAGATTCAGGCTCTGAGGGGGGCATGACAGTGGCCAATTTCCACAGTACCTAATGCTAGGTTCCATGCAGGAGCTTCCCACAAACCACAACAACTCCAGGGTTTTTGTCAAAACCTGGCACCATGAATGCATGGCCCTGCTATGGTCAGGAGACTGCAAGACCTGACCTGGACAAGGTGGTACACAACTCTAAAATGGGAATAAAAAATCTGCAATTTTCACAGCAGGAAAGGCTTTGAAGCTACATGAAGATATCTCCCGTTGTCCTTTATTTTGTAAAGAAAAGTTCAAAAAAAGAATCCAACCAGGTTAGGACAAAATGATCTCCAAACGTCTACAGTACACTCTTCTTAACATGAAGAAAAATCAAATCAAAACATCTACAACGGTTGTCACTACATATACTCATAAGTCAGTTTGAAAAAAAATTGAAATCCAATTTTTTTTTACTACCGGTTCTGTGGGCATGGCTTGGTGGGCATGGCGTGGCTTGGTGGATGTGGCTTGGTGGGTGTGGCTGGGGAAGGATACTGCAAAATCTCCATTCTCTCCCCACTCCAGGGGAAGGATACTGCAAAATCCCCATTCCCTCCCCACTCCAGGGGGAAGGATATTGCAAAATCTCCATTCCCACCCAACTCTGGGGCCAGCCAGAAGTGGCATTTGCCAGTTCTCCGAACTACTCAAAATATCTGCTACCGGTTCTCCAGAACCTGTCAGAACCTGCTGGATTTCACCCCTGCCATAAGTCATTCCTTACGTTCAATCAAATGTGCTTAGAAGTACCCTGAAGTTGAATAAGCACATGGGGAAATGGAGGGAAGAATCTATGAATGTTTTAGAGTCAAAAGATGATTCCCCCCCCCTTTGTTCCAAGGACAGACGTTGTCTGGGTTGGTATTTCCAAGTAATGCATTATTCTCCATCACCTCCAGAGTAGCAATTCAATTTAGGAGTGAAGATTTAGCCATTCAGCATGTGTGTAGTTATTTGAGGGACTGCCTGTCTCCATCTGGTGAAATCAGGCAGAGTGGGCATTCTTTAGGGCCCTTTGATCAAGCAGCGCCATTTTGTGGGATCCAGGAAATGTGATTTTGATGTTCTCTGGAATTATTTTGCCCCAGAGATTCAGATGGCTCCTGCTCTGGTATCATTCCAGAAGCTATTAAGGTCCTGGCTATTCTCTCAGGCTTTGGAACAGGCTAAACATTGAGACTTTGCTGGATGGCTTTTTGTTATACGTTGTGTTTGGGGGCCCTCATGGTTTATCTTTTGTATTTTTCAAGGTTGGGAATTGGGCTCCAGTTCCCTTCCCTGTATTTACAGTTTTACTTTTTCCTGCTTCCCGGCTGCTAACCCCTTCCCCCATTCCCATTCCCTTTACTATTATTTCTTTGATCTGTTAACAATTTGTCATGATTGCAAAGGTTGCTAGATATAGTAACTGTATCAGTGCAGTGTAGTACTTGCTCTATTGTCTTGAAACATTTACTTCTGGCTCACACTTGGTCAATAAAATCTTCTCTTCTCTTCTCTTCTCTTCTCTTCTCTTCTCTTCTCTTCTCTTCTCTTCTCTTCTCTTCTCTTCTCTTCTCTTCTCTTCTCTTCTCTCCTCTCCTCTCCCCTCCCCTCTCCTCTCCTCTCCTCTTTCCATTGTTTCAGTCATACTCAGTAGATTGAGCTGAAGGCACATGCATCAAAATGCCTTACTGTTAAAGCTGTTCAATTGATGAATGTCTTGTTATTCCTTGAGAAACTTAGCAAATTACAGTACATACTCAGCTTTTTTATAGGCATAGACATGAAAATTCCTGAAAATTAAATCTTCAGTGTTGATAGAACTCCTGCAGGTCGATGGGAATCACATGCCTGTCTGTCTGTCTGTCTGTCTGTCTGTCTCTCTCTCACCCCCGTCTCTTTTTGCTACATTTTGAAAATCTAATCAAAGCCCTCTTTTTTTCAAATGTCCTTGATCGATGATGGGGAAGAGATGGCTCAATTTCAAAACAACTCTTAGCTGTGACTATTATCCAAAATTACAATTTAAAGGGTTGAAAATAAAGCTCACTATTGTTTTACAAGCTAAGAGAGACTGCTTGGAAAAAAAAATAAGTGCTTATTGAAATGTAAAGTTAATTCTGAATTGAGCAGAGAAGAAGTCGTTAATTCCGCTACGTGTTTTATGGTGATGAGGAATATTTCAAGCATATGGCAGTCTTTATACTAATTGAGATGCACTTGGGTCCTTGAACTGAAAAGACAATATTCCAGAGTATCAGCCAACTTTTTTGACATACTGTAAGTCTCTCTCTAAAAGGGATGCGGTGGCTCAGTGGCTAAGTTGCTGAGCTTGTCGATCAGTTGATTGGCAGTTCAGCGGTTTGAATCCCTAGTGCCACATAATGGAGTGAGCTCCCGTTACTTGTCCCAGCTTCTGCCAACCTAGCGAAAGCACGTAAAATATATAAGTAGAAAAATAGGTACCACTTTGGTGGGAAGGTAACAGCGCTCCGTGCGCCTTTGGTGTTTAGTCATGCCGGCCATATGACCACGGAGACGTCTTCAGACAGCGCTGACTCTTCGGCTTTGAAACGGAGATGAGCACTGCCTCCTAGAGCCGGAAATGACTAGCACATATGTGCAGGAGGAACCTTTACTTTTAAGTCTCTCTCTACCACTGGGCCTGCCTCACACAAACACAGTATCCCAAGGAGGTGTAGCATTCAGCTGGTATTTGCTTTTCTTCCTATCAGTCACTTACATGAGAAGACTACAAGGTGGAAATATCTTCCCATTTGTTTTTGTTAATTAAGAAACATGAGACACTTTAAGTGGAGTATCTTATAGTAATTTGGAAGCCTTCTGAGGCATCTTACTGGATTAATAAACTGTAATTACTATTTTAAATAGATGTTTCTCTGCAGTTTGGTGCAAAGAAAATACAAGTGGTTGTTAGGCTTATCAAAACATGATATACTTCAAATAAAGCAGGGTGTGTAAAGGACCATAGAATAGACCTATCTAAGATGGCAGTTAGGCTTTAGAGGGTTAAAAAAAACATATCTGAAGGTTAACTTGCCTTAAGATATGTGCCGAATAAAATTTCATTTTCATTTCATTTTATTAGATTTATATACCGCCCTACTCCCGAAGGACTCAGCTCCAAATCAAGCTCCAGTACCATTTTTCTCCACTCACTCACTCCACTCCACCACTGTACTTAGAAGTCCAGATGAGTTTAATTTTTTCCTGAGTCCTAGAAGATTTCCCCTCAGATCTTGGAGTTTAGATTCCTCTCCTTCCTTCTTCAGAGTTGACTGTTCCTCTCCAGAGAAATGTAAAAGAACAATAGCATTCAGCAAACTCATTCTCCATTATTTAACCTTCTTCTTCTTCTTGTGCCATATCCGTCATCGGACGTTGGTGATCCTGTTGACAATCCTATTTTTGTCAACAGCCGCATGGAAAAGTGCTGCAGAGTTTTGTCCAAAGCAGTCCCTTAGGTTTTGAAGGCATGATCTTCTTCTTCTGCCTGGACCTCATTTGCCTTCAATCTTTCCCTGGAGGATTAAGTGAAGGATGCTGTATTTTTCTGGGTGTCGCATCACATGTCCAAAATATTCTAACTTTTTAATGGCTTTGATGATTTCCCTTGGCTTTCCCAGGAGGCTTATCGCCTCCTCATTTGTGATTTTGTTAACCTAAAGGGAGTTAATCAGTTTATTAGAGATAGAAAGGATTAGTCTACCAACCATACTGGTTAATTCCCTACCTAACAGTAATATTGGGAATTTACATCACTAGAAGTTCATGAGATAACCTGTGACCCACTGGGCTATCATTTCGCAGTGTAGAAAGTTAGCATTCACCCCTCCTAGAAGAATGAAATATTTTAAGAAATATTAAAAAGGCAGAATATTATATTTCCTCTAAAAGAGAAATAGAAATCTTAAGGGAGATAGAAACTCAGAGCTTCAGCTCCCTGCCCCCAGCAGATATTTGGTGCCCGTTGAGAAAGAGTGGGCCATCCTATCTACAAGACAAAAGACCTTCAGCTCCAGGGATTAAGACATGACCATTCAGGACATAATAGGATTATCTAGCAGCAGGGCTCATTGCATTGCAAAATCTAAGGACATTGCATCACCCAGCAACGTTGAACTAAATTTAGACAAACTCCTAGGATTTGCACATAGCTCCATGGGAGTCTGACAGCAGCCAATAGAATACATATTCTTGCACAGGAAAAGGAAGCTCAAGTTCAAAGCGAGGAGTATAAATAACCCTCATTCTCTACTCCATGTGGTCAGCTGCCTTGTGGTCCTGTTCATTAATAAACCATCTTTACAATCAGCCTCCATGTTTCCGGTGTCTTTCTCCCTGCTTGAAACTGAATCAGATGGATATTTCTTCCAGCAGCAGATATTTCTTTACCTAAACAGAGAAACAAAATAATCATGGGCCAGCAAAAAGCAGTGGGAATTACTTCCAACTTCCTTAAGGCTTCCCCATTAACTTTCGTTATAGGAACCTGGCAGGGAATTTTGGAAATGACAGGTATGTGACTTCAGCAGTGTGGCAACATGGCAACATCTGAAGCAACCAACCACTTTATCAAATTTCAATCCTATAGGAATCGTGGATCCTGGATTTTCGACGCATTCTGCAAAGTAGCCCTTTAGAGGTCTGTCGATTCAAAAATGGTTGCCCTGTGATGCACTGTTTCGTCCAATTTAAGGTAATAAAGAACTGAACAGATGCAAGAGTTTTAGTAGTATATAGATGTTGCACAAACATCCACAGAGAAACATTCAGATGCCTCCCCGCCTCCACCAGTTAATAAAGAGACCAGGTTAAAATTATTTTGTTACACTTATTGTGATTTCAGTTTAACAAAATGACATTTTTTTTTGTCAGCCAATAACTATTTCTATTATTAATGCTATTTTCTCCCTGGATATATAACTGAATGAATGGTGTGAATGAGTTTTAATGTTTTTAATGTTTTTAATTCTTAAATGTTTTTTATAATGATTTTAAATGCATTGTGAGCCGCCCTGAGTCTTCAGAGAGGGGCGGCATACAAATTGAATTAATAAATAATAATAAATAAAGTATACACTGGGAAAATTTTAAATCTAAGTCACATTCTTTAAATTTAAATTTCAACAGACTATTACACCAAATGTTTTGTTAAAATATTAATTACCGTATTTTTCAGAGTATAAGACACACCTTTCCCCCCTCCCTAAAATGGGGAGAAAATTTAGGTGCATCTTATACACCGAATGTAGCCCCACCCACCCACTGGTCCCCACCCTTTGGTCTCTGCCTCCCAGCAATTTACCTCGTTGCAGCAAGCAGCAAGAAGAAACAGCCCATTTCAGCTTCAGCACAGCCTAATTAGCACAAGCTGATTGTCTGTTGGATCGGCCTCCCGACTCTCAGCTGTTTTGCGTGGGCCTCTGCTGCTTGCTGCAAGGAGGTAAATTGCTGGGAGCAGATTTTTTTTTCATTGTGCTAATCAAACTATGCTGAAAATGAAAATAAAGCAGGCTATTTGCTGTTTGCTGCAATGATGCAAAATTGCTGGGAGGCAGAGGCAGATTTTTTTTTCTTGTTTTCCTCACCAAGAAAGGTAGGTGCATCTTATACTCCGAAAAATATGGTATTTGGACATTATTATGCAGAGTGTTGCTTTAGAACACCTCTCTAAAGCACCATTTTTCCTTTTATCTTTTATTATATCTTTGGGTCCTTTCCCAACTATTTTCCCCTGGCTTTGTTAGAGAAGACAAATGCAGTTCCCATATGTCAAAACTGATGTACCTAGGGTTGCCAGGTCTGCTTCCAAAAAATAGCAGACAAGCGGGGGGGGGGGGGGGTGGGGTTAAGTAGTAAAATAATAAAAAAAAATTACAATTAAATTATATATTTTCTTACAAACATTTTAACACCATTTTAGGTCAGTCGACACAAGCTACAATACATTTTAAAAATGTGAACTGTACATAATTTTATAATATATATTTATTTTAATCTCATCATTAATTTTTTCGGAGAATCGAGTTCAATGGATATTCGATCTTTGTCTCATTCTAACTTATGAAAAAAAAGACAAAACGCGATTCTCCTATCCTTATTCTCTTAGACTGTACAGCTTTAGATTACATACCATTTCATCATAAAGCTTTTGAATAAAAAAAATGTCCACTATTTTGTGAAAAAAAAAATAGTGAACATAATGTGAAAAAAGCAGACTGTCCGCTCAAATAGTGGACACCTGGCAACCCTAGATGTACCTATTCCTTGGAGCCTCATAGCCCTGCAGTCCACCTCAAGGTCTCTCCACATTGTCTGAATTTACAAAGAGAAAATGTTGATTGAAATGAAGCTTTCCCTTACTTCATTTTGCAGGCAGCCTTGGCAGAAATACTTCATGTGTGCATGGAGGAGACCCCCTAAAGTGGCCATATTAGGCCTTTGAAAAGAGGAAGAAGAGGGTTTAGAAAGAGCTTCTCAAAGCAAATATACAATGGGTTTTATACTGCCCTCCTTGTTTCCTGTGAGCCAAAGAATGATAGGTGTCAGGGTTCCGACGGATGCCCTAATTAAATCATAAGTCTTGAGCCAAGCTTCAAAAGAAATCCAGTCATTTATTAGGAGCTTCATGTTGGCACGTTCTCAAGTGACGCCAGCTCTGACCCTACATAATTTACACTCCAATTATAACCCTGTTTCTCCCCCAGGGTGTGTCATCAGTCACATTCACCAACAGAGCAATGTTGCGGGTTGTAGAGGTCAACTCCCCTTCGACTGCTGTGGGTAACTCTGGGATACAGCCTTGAGAGAGATAAGTCTGGAATGTGCTTCTGTCTTTGGCTGCCGTGCCATTTCATCGGTTTCCCATCCCCCTTGCTTATGGCAACTCGAGAGCAGGACAGGGATGCTTTGCGAGTTGACGTTAGGATCATAGATTTAGTAAAACGTGAGATAAGACAGGCAAGCTGCCGAGGCAGGAGGTAGGAAAAATATTTCCTTTCTAAGACACAATGAAGTACTTCTGCTTCTGTTAACCCCATTGCAGAAATATACAAGACCCACAAGAACAGCCTGGAACATTAAGATTTTTCAAAGTCAATCAGGATAGTCCAGAGAGGAATCATTCCAACATGGAATTTATTTGTAAGATGTTCATTTCTCAGTCTGACCCTACATGTCTTTCAACAGTTTAACCCATTGCTGATGTTACTGAGTCTATCCATTTTGCTGCTGGTTATCCTTTTTTTAAACTTTCCTTCCATGTTTTCTAATGTTCCTGATTTTACAAGGGATCTGGGTTTGCATAATGCATCCAAACCATGATTGTTTGACTTGTTCAATGACCCCTTTGTTTTCTTGGCTATCTGTGGCATTCTCAAGAGGCATCACTAATGCCAAAGTTCAAAAGCATCATTATTGTTTTTAGCTTTCTTCTTAAAAGTACTACTTTTGCTTCCATAAAGTATCAAGTGAAAATCATTTGCTGCCTGATCCCTTTTCTATGTTTAAGTGTGTTAATACCACTTTATAATGCCTTGGTAAGCCCACATTTGGAATACAGTATCCAGTTTTGGTCGCCACGATGTAAAAAAGATGTTGAGACTCTAGAAAGAGTGCAGAAAAGAGCAACAAAGATGATTAGGGGACTGGAGGCTAAAACATATCAAGAACGGTTGCAGGAACTGGGTATGTCTAGTTAATGAAAAGAAGGACTAGGAGAGGCATGATAACAGTGTTCCAATATCTCAGAGGCTGCCACAAAGAAGAGGGAGTCAAGATATTCTCCAAAGAAACTGAGGGTAGGACAAGAAGCAATGGGTGGAAACTAATCAAGGAGAGAACTAAGGAGAAATTTCCTGACAGTTAGAACAATTAACCAGTGGAACAACTTGCCTCCAGAAGTTGTGAATGCTCCAACACTGGAAGTTTTAAAGAAGATGTTGGATAACTATTTGTCTGAAGTGGCGTAGAGTTTCCTGCCTAAGTAGGGGGTTGGACTAGAAGACCTCCAAGGTCCCTTCCAACTCTGTTATTCTATTCTATTCTATTCTATTCTATTCTATTCTATTCTATTCTATTCTATTCTATTCATGCAGAACCATAAAGGCATGGAACTTGCATTGGATTGGCATGACATCACTTCTGTCATTGCATGACATTTGACCCTCCCATCCCCCTTGATTCCCCCCACAAATGAGTGCATTTCATACATATGGCATTTTAATTATACTATATTAAGAATTATGGGTGAAAAACAGTCACAGAAAATGTCTTCATTTGCTTTTTCAAACTAAATAGTGTGTATTATCCCGACTGATCAAAAGCACTTTGATTTCCTGCAGACAATAATTTCCTAGCTGGCAAAAGATGGGAAAAGTACAAAGATGCAGGATAATGTAGGTCTCCAGTCTTGCTTATTTGCTGCGTGTGCAGTTTGAAGCAGAAACGTTGGAAAGCTATTTCAAGTCACATTTTCCACAATGTGATAATTCTAGAGTGGAAAATAGTCTACCTGGTATTTGAGGTTCTTGACATTCTGATTGCATCCAAGAAATAATTCTATTCAAGAAATCATTTGCTTCATTGTCACATACTTAGTAGTCGTTGCCATGACCAGCCTTCTTATTAATAATTCTGAGCCTGAATTTGTGAGAATCCATATGGCTAACAGCACTAATGAGAAGGTGAGGTTTCCTTCCTAGCAGCTCCTTAGGAAACGCCACTCAATCCAGCGTGATAAAAGCCAGCATTCACTAGGCACAAGAACTAATCAACTACGATTTTAAACATTACAGAACCAAGCAAATTAAAATTATCATTGATTTGCTTTTATAATAATGACGGAATCAACAATGGAACCATAATCCTAAGAATAAGATGATAATACATCTTGCAAATGAGAGCATGTGAAAATCCACAATAGAAAAAGGGCTTAATTTTAATTCCTGGCCAGCTGGCTGCCCCCTGGAAAAGAGTGAAAATTCAAATGAGCCAATCAGAAATTGAGGAAAACCCAGTCCTTTATTATTTTGTTGTTGTTGTTGTTGTTGTTGTTTTTTTGTTGTTGTTATTATTATTATTATTTATTATTATTATTATTATTATTATTATTATTATTATTGGTTAATCTTTAGTGAGATTCACAGCCTTTGAGGCTGGTTAATAGCTCAGCAGCTCGAGTCCTAACCAAGGACCTAGGAACTGTTAAGGTATCGTCAGAGGATGTAAGCTGTTCCGAGTAAGGTGGTTTTTTGTAGAGTCAAAATGTTCAAGTCCGGCAAATTTAGGATTTCTAAATAGCGGGGTAGCCCTTTGGGTATTGCTCCGAGGGCTCCAATTACAATCGGGACAACACACGATTTCTTTTTCCACAGTCGCTCAACTTCAATTTGTAAGTCCCAGTACTTTGTGATTTTTTTCTTGCTGCTTATCTTCAATTCGTGCATCACCAGGTATTGCAATGTCAATGAACCATACTTTTTTCTTTTCAACTATTGTTATGTCAGGTGTGTTGTGGACCAAGTGCCTGTCAGTCTGAATCCTAAAGTCCCACAAGATCTTGAGTTTCTCATTCTCTAAAACTTTCTCAACCTGATGTTCCCAGTGGTTTTTGCTGTACTCAAATCCAAACTTCTGGCACAATTTCCAGTGAATGATTTTAGCAACACGGTCATGGCGTTGTAGGTAGTCAGTTTGTGGGTAGTCAGTTTGTGAAATTTTGCTGCACCCACTGATCAGGTGGTCATTATTATTATTATTATTATTATTATTATTATTATTATTTAGTGGGTTTTGTGTGTAACTTGCTAAATAAGTCTGAGCAAATTACGGCAAAGTCTGCTTTCAGTAAGTGATTCGGTTTGGAAAACTGGTCAGAGGCATTTGGAGTCAATTCTGAATTTACTCCAATTTCGTTTGGAAAAAGGCAGTTTTGCATATGTTGATAAATGTTCCTACCCAGATCAGTTTGGAGATCCAGCCAGATTCCCCTCTCATTGAATCAATCACTGAATATGTGTACAACTTTCCTGTTTCACAGAAAGTTAAATCACGAGTGTTTGAAAACAGTTTAACCTTTGGGTGTATGTAAAGGTATCTTATTTGTAGCTCATTTTCCTGCCTGTACAGGTAGTTCTCAACTTACAAGCATTTGTTTAGTGACTGTTCAAAGTTACAGTGGCACTTTAAAAAATGACTTTACAACAGGTCCTCACACTTACAACTGTTGCTGCATCATCATCCCCATTGGTCATTTGATAAAATGTGGGTACTTGGCAACAGGCAGGTATCTGCGATGCTTGTAGCGCCCTGAGCTCATGTGATGGCCATTTATGATCTTCCTGGCTGGCATCCAATAAGCAAAATCAATTTGCTTAAGAACCACATGATTCACTTAATGTTGCAGTGATTTGCTTAACAACGGTGGCAAAAAAAGGCTGCAAAACTGGACATGACTCATTTAATAACTGCCATACTTAGCAGTGGAAATTCGGGTCCCAATTGTAGTTATAAGTCGAGCACTAGCTGAATATACTTAAAGACATATTGAAGATAAACAAATGATGATGCAGGGAGGATTAAAAATTAACATTCAGACAAAACTGGAATTTTTCTTATTAAGACTTAAGGATAGTAAATTAAAAAAGGCTCATGGATGATTGGTTTTATATTAAATAACTGCAGCAAAGTTATTAGATACATAAAATGGAAGAATACAGAAATATCCACAACAGAGGAAGGCATCATAAAGATGGCAGAACTTGCAGAGATGGCTAAATTTTGTTTGATTAAGGATGGAACACCTGTTACTTTTATAAAAAACTTTTATAAGGTTTTATGGATGAAATTCTTTGCTGAAAATTGATTAAAATTGATTGGTGATTTCTGGATTCACTGATGAAAAAGACTTTTTATGGGAAGAAAGGCATGTAATACAGGAGGGTGGAAAAAGAAATGATCATATCAAATTTATATTTACCGACAAATTTAACACAAAAAGTTTGTTGCAAAAGTAGCTGCCTGCAAAGGCTCCTGGATTGGGGCTGAAAGGCAAAAGCGGAAGCAGTATTCTCTGTCCCATATTTGGGTAGACCAGGTTGCCCTGATAGACCGGTCTCATCGGAAAACACTTAATGATCATGTCTATAACGTATGCATGGGACGCCATGGCTCAGTGGCTAAGATGCTGAGCTTGTTGATCGAAAGGTCGGCAGTTCAGTGGTTCGAATCCCTAGTACCACTTAACGGGGTAAGCTCCAGTTACTTGTCCCAGCTTCTGCCAACCTAGCAGTTCGAAAGCACGTAAAAAATGCAAGTAGAAAAATAGGGACCACCTTTGGTGGGAAGGTAACAGTGCCTTTGGTTCTGTGCACCTTTGGCATTTAGTCATCCCAGCCACATGACCATAGAGACGTCTTTGGACAGCGCTGGCTCTTCGGCTTTGAAACAGAGATGAGCACCACCCCCTAGAGTCGGGAATGACTAGCACATGTGCGGGAGGAACTTTTACCTTTACTTATAACTTATGCAAAGATGATCAGAAGTGACTAATTCAGATAAACTTGTTTTCTTTTTGTCTTTTATTCATAGCACTTTTCTTTTCCCCACTACTTTTATGTTTCTATAATTTTTTTAAAAAAATTTAAAATTCTCAATAAAAATTATATCTATCTAGATAGAGGTAGAAATAGAGGTCGAGGTCGAGATTGAGATGAAGGGAGATGGAGATGGAGGGAGATGGAGGGAGATGGAAATGGAGGGAGATAGAGATGGAGATGGAGGGAGATGGAGATGGAGATAGAGGTAAAGATATATTGGAGGATAGGAGGAAGGATTGGATTTTTGTAATAATAATAATAATAATAATAATAATAATAATAATAATAATAATAATAATAATAATAATAATAATAATTGTACCATTCCCAATTTCAGTCAAAATTTTGGCTTGATGCAATTAAGCCAGGATAATTTCTCAGGATGACAATGCATGTTGAAACAGATCCTCACATAACATTTTAATATAGAATGATGACAATTGCATGCTTTATGTGTATCAAAGTCTGCTTTTCCTTAATTGTTAATATGTTCCTAGATTATCATTTTCTATATATATGGATATTTTTTTCAGCACTTCAGGGACAAGAACTTTAAAGACCTCAATTTCAAAACAAGTTATGAGGTGTATGATTGCAAAAGCTAAGTAAGTCAAATTATTT